ACTTTCCCAGACAAACAAAAGCTGACAGATTTCATCAACAGCAGATCTATCCTATAAGAAATGCTAAAGAGAGTTCTTCAATCTGAAAGAAAAAGACATTAATTACCAATAATAAATTATCTGAAAGTATAAAACTTACTAGTAATAACAACACACAGAGTATTATAACACTGCAATTGTGCTGTGTAAAATACTCTTAAGTAGAAAGACTAAATGATGACACAATCAAAAATAATAATTACAACAACTTTTCAAGACATAGACAGTACAGGCCGGGTGCAGTGGTTGACACCTGTAATCCCAGCACTTTGGGAGGCCGAGACGGGCAGATCACCTGAAGTCAGGAGTTTGAGATCAGCCTAGCCAACATGGTGAAACCCCGACTCTACTAAAAATACAACAAGTAGCCGGGCATGGTGGCGGGTGCCAGTAATCCCTGCTACTCAGGAGGCTGGGGCAGGAGAATTGCTTGAACCCGGGAGGCAGAGGCTGCAGTGAGCCAAGATAACCCCACTGCACTCCAGCCTGGGTGAAAAGAGGGAAACTTCGTCGGAAAAAAAAAAAAAAAAAAAAAAAAAGACATAGACAGTACAATAAGACATACAGAGAAAACAAAAAGTTAAAAAGGGAAATTAAGTTAAAGTGTAGTTTTCATTAGTTTTCTTTTTGCTTGTTGGTTGGTTTATGCAATCAGTGTTAAGTTGTCATTAGTTTAAAATAATGGGTTATAAGATTATTTGCAAACCTCATGGTAACCTCAAAGCAAAAAACATACGATGGGGCTGGGCATGGTGGTTCATGCCCATAATTCCAGCACTTTGGGAGGCCGAGGTGGGAGGATCACTTAAGCCTAGGAGTTCAAGAAAAGTTCAGCCTGAGAAACATGACAAAACCCCATCACTGCAAGAAATACAAAAAGTTATCTGGGTGTGGTGGCACGTGTCTGTAGTCCAAGCTACTTTGGAGGCTGAGGTGGGAAGATCTCTTGAACCTGGGAAGTCAAGGGTACAGTGAGTCAAGATCGTGCCACTGCACTCCAGCCTGGGCAACAGAGCAAGACCCTGTCTGGAAAAAAAAAAGATACAATGGAGACACAAAAAATAAAACAAGAAATTAAATCATGCCACCAGAAAAAAATTACCATCACTAAAAGGAAGACAGGAAGGAAGAAAAGAAGGAAGGAAGAGAAGACCAAAAAACAACCAGAGAACAAATAACAAAATGGCAGGAAAAAGTCTCAACTTACCAATAAAAAAAATTGAATGTAAATGGACTAAACTCTCCAATCAAAAGCTAGAGTGGCCGAATGGATAAAAAAAAGCAAGAAACAATGATCTGTTGTGTACAAGAAGCACACTTCACCTGTGAAGATACGCTGAAAATAAAGGGATGGAAAAAGATATTCCATGCCAATGGAAACCAAAAAAGAGTAGGAGTACCTGTACTTATATCAAACAAAATAGATTTCAAGACAAAAAGCTGTAAGAAGAGACAAAGGAGACCATTACGTAATGATTAAGTGGTCAATTCAGCAAAAGGATATAACAATTGTAAATCTCTATGCACCCAACACTGGTGCACCCACATATATAAAGCAAATATTAGAGCTAAAGAGAGAGATAGGCCACAATACAATAATAGCTGGAGACTTCAACACCTCACTTTCAGCACTGGACAGATCATTCAGACAGAATATCAACAAAGAAATATCAGATTTAATCTGTACTACAGACGAAATGGATCTAATAGATATGAACATTTCACAGATATATTAAATGTATATTCTGCAGGTGTTCTGTAAATACCTATTAATATTTCTCCTCAGCACATGAATCATTCTCAAGGATTGACCATATGTTGTCACAAAGTAAGTCTGAAAATATTCAAAAGAATTGAAAAATTATTCAATTCCAAGCATCTTCTCTGACTACAATGGAATAAAGCCAGAAATGAGTAATGGGGAATTTAGGAAACTATACATGAAAATTAAATAATATGTTCTTAAATGATCAGTGGTCAATGGTAAATGAATGGTCAATGAAGAAATTAAGAGGGAAATTGAAAAAAAAATCTTGAAACAAATGGTAATGGAAACACAGCATACCAAAACCTATGGGATAGAGCAAAAGCAGTACTAAGAGAGAAATTTATAGCTAAAAGTGTCTACATCAAAAAAGAAGAAAAACTTCAAATAAATAACCTAATGATGTATCTTAAAGAACTAGGGAAGGAAGAGCAAACCATGCCCATAATTAGTAGAAGAAAATAATAATAAAGATCAGAGCAGAAGCAAAAGAATTTAAAATGAAGAAAATACAAAAGATGAAATGAAAGAAAAAGTTGCTTTTCTGAAAAGACATATAAAATTGGCAAACCTTTAAGCCAGACTAAGAAAGAGACAAGATTCAAATAAATAAAACCAGAGATTTAAAAAGAGACATTACAACTGATACCGCAGAAATTCAAAGGGATTATTAGCAGCTACCATGAGCAACTGCATGCCAACAAACTGGAAAATCTAGAGGAAATGTATAAATTCCTAGACACATACACCTATCAAGTTTGAACCATGAAGGAATCCAAAACCTGAACAGATAAATAACAAGTAATGAGACTGAAGCCATAACAGAATTCTCCCAGTAAAGAAAAGCTCAAGACCCAATGGCTTCACTGCTGAATTCTAACAAATATTTAGAGAATTAATACCAATCCTACTCAAACTATTCCCAAAAATAGAGGAGGAAGGAATACTTCAAAACTCATTGTACAAGGTCAGTATTACCCTGATACCAAAGCTAGACAAAGACACATCAAAAAAAGAAAACCACAGGCCAATATCTCTGATAAATACTGATGCAAAAAACCCTCAACAAAATACTAGGAAACGGAATTCAACAATACATTTAAAAGATCAGCCGGGTGCAGTGGCTCAAGCTGTAATCCCAGCACTTTGGGAGGCCCAGGCGGGGGATCACGAGGTCAGGAGTTCGAGGCCAGCCTGGCCAGCATGGTGAAACCCCGTCTCTACTAAAAATACAAAAAAATGGCCAGGCATGGTGGCGCACACCTGTAGTCGCAGTTACTCAGGAGGCTGAGGCAGAAGAATTACCTGAACCCGGCAGGCAGAGGTTGCAGTGGGCCAAGATTGTGCCACCACACTCCAGCCTGGGTGACAGAAAGAGACTCCATCTCAAAAATAAAAATAAAAAATCATTCATGGATGGCCATGGGGTCTCATGCCTACAATCCTAGTACTTTGGGAGGCCGAGGCGGGAAGACTGCTTGAGCCCAGGAGATTGAGACCAGCCTAGGCAATATAGCAAGACTTTGTCTCTACAAAAAAAATTTAAAAATTAGCCAGGCATGGTCGTCCATCCCTGTAGTCCCAGCTACTTGGGAGGCTGAGTTGGGAGGACCATTTGAGCCTGGGGGTGTCGAGATGGCAGTGAGCCATGATCATGTCACTGCACTCCAGTCTGGTTGATAGAGACTGTCTCAAAAAGATCATTCATCATGACCAAATGGGATTAATCCCAGGGATTCAACGATGGTTCAACATACACAAATCAATCAATATGATACATCATGTGAACAGAATGAAGAACAAAAATTGTATGATCATTTCAATTAAGTAACTCTCAAAATGTAAGCATATAAAAGCAAACATTACTGTAAGACAAGAATAGATATTTCAAAGAAGAGGATATGCAGATAGAAAATTAGCACATGAAGAGCCGTACATCATTTCGAAAGGTCAATGCATATTAAACCCTCAATGAAATATTACCATATACTTATCAGAATGGCTAAGTGGTGGGCAGATCATGAGGTCAGGAGATCGAGACCATCCTCGCTAGTGAAACCCCGTCTCTACTTTAAAAATACAAAAAAATTAGCCAGGCATGGTGGCACATGCCTATAATCCCAGCTACTCGGGAGGCTGAGGCAGGAGAATCGCTTGAACCCAGAAGACAGAGGTTGCAGTGAGCCAAGATCGCACCACTGCACTCCAGCCTGGGTGACAGAGCGAGACTCCTTCTCAAAAAAAAAAAAAAGCAAACATACCAAATGCTGGTAAGAATGCAGAGAAACTGAATCACTCATACACTGCTGATGGGAATGTAAAATGGCACAGCCACTCTGGAAATAGTTGACAGTTTCTTATTACACTATACATGCAATTACTATACCACCCAGCAGTTAATTGTACTCGGGCATTTATCACAGAAAAATGAAAAACATTATGTTCACACAAAAACCTGTACTCTGGTTCTCATACCTGCTTTACTTGTAATAACCAAAAACAACAATCTAGATGTCCTTCAGTGGGTGACAAGCCACGATAAATCCATACCATGAAATAGTACTCAGCAATAAAAAGGAAGGAATTTCTGATATACACAAAAACTTGTATGAATCTCCAGGGAATTATGCTATGTGGAAAAATGCAATCTCAAAAGGTTAAATGGTATATCAGTCCATTTATCAATCCAATGGTGTATCAGTCCATTCTTACAATGACAAAATTATAAAAAGGGAGAATATACTAGTAGTTGTATGGGATAAAGATGAGGCCAGGGAGGGAATGACATGAAGGAGTAGATATGGTTATAAAAAGTCAGTAAGAGAGTTCCTGGAAGTCATGGGACAGTTCTGTATCATGACTAGATACAGTTAGGTTTATTTATGACTGAACGCAGACGTCATAAAATTCCAGACAACTGGATACACTCTCTCTCTCTCTCTCTCTCTCTCTCTCACACACACACACACACACACACACGCACTCACACACATACAAATGAATACATGAAAAGCTGAGGACATCTGAATAGATCTGGTGATTGTATCAATGTCAAAACCCTAGTTGTGATATTTTACTATATTTTTGTAAAACAGTACTATTGGGGGAAACTGGGTAAAGGTACACAAGATCTCTCTGTATTCTTTCAATCCAGATTAAAGAGTGCTACTTGTAACACATATCATTTCAAACTCACCAAAATTGGGAGTGAGGCAGGCAGATGCTGAAGCATCATCTTGGTCACAGCTATTTTGCATTACAGTTGAGTAACTCATTGTCCCAGAATTCATTTGTGGGCCAGATTCTGTTTTGAACAACATTTCAATATGTAAAACATTTTCTAGTGCTGAAAGACAAGAAATCTCAACCATGTTTTTTATATCAGGAGAAACTATCCTTCGGGAATAAAAGAAAAACAGACATTCTCAGACAAAGAAAAACTTTAAAAAGCGGTCACTGGCTGACTTACCCTTAAAGAACAACTAAAGGAAGATCTTCAAACTGAAAGGATATGATTAAGGAAGGAATCTTGCAGCATCAGGAAGGAAGAAAGAACAACACAAAGAGCAGAAATATGGGCATGGAGAAACTAGGTCACTCACACGTTGCTGGTGGGGGTAGAAAATTGTACAGACACTCTGGAAAACAACTTGGCAGTATTTTATAAAACTAAACATACCATTACCATAGGACCCAGCAACTGCACTCTTGGGCAGTATCTCAGAGAAATGAAAACTTGTGTTCACACAAAACCTATATGGTGTATGAGTGTTTATAGCAGCTTTACTTCTAATAGCCAAAATCAGGAAACAACCTAGATGTCTTTCAATACCTGAAAAGATAAACAAACCACAGTACATGTACACCATGTACTGTGCACTGTCTACCATGGAATAGTACTCAGCAACAAAAAGAAGAACCATTTAGGGGCTTTGCCTGTGGTAGAGGATACATGAACCTAATTAGACATATGATAAAAACTGAACTAAAACACATACATACACATGCACACAAATAAATACAAGTAAAACTGGGGACATCTCAATAATATCTGCAGAAGGTATCACGTCAACATCCTGTTTGTGATAATTTCTTATAGTTTTGCAAGATGTTACTTTTGAGAGAAAAAGTGGTATTGACTTTAGATTCTCTATTATTATTTATTATAACTTTATGTGTAGCTAAATTTTTCTGAAAATAAAAACTTTAATTAGAAAAAGCTACCAATATCTTGCACTACAGTTAATCATTAAGTTAAATAGTTTGCATATAGCAAGTATCATTTCAAACTCACGAAATTGCAAGGGCTGTGAAATAATGAGGAAACATTCTAGCGACTGTTGTTTTCCTAATAAGGTTGGTAATTTGTTTTTTTCTGAACCTCTTTTTACTGAGCTGGTTCGTGCTTTTCCCAATGTTTCTATAAATAAAATATTTCAAATATTGAAAGACAATAAATTTCAATCATGAATTCTACATCAACCAAAAGTGTCCTTCAAATATAGAGAAATAAAAGACATTCTCACATGAGGAAAACTAAAGGTGTTTGCACTAGCTGACATACACTTAAAAAAGAATGGCTAAAAGGAAAATCTTCAAACGAAAAAGAATGATGAAAAAGCAAATCTTGGAGCATCAAAAAGAGGAAGAAAAACAATGAAACGAAATATGCATGTGGAGAAACCGGATCATTCATACATAATTGGGAAGAATGTAAAATGATACAGTCTCTCTGGAACACCATTTGGCAGTTTCTTATAAAACTAAACATGCAATTACTATACAACCAAGCCTTTTCACTCTTGGACATTTATCCAAGAAAAATCAAAACTTACGTTTATACAAAAATCTGTACATCAATTAGCCATTGCAACTTTACTTGTAATAGTCAAAAACTAAACAGCAGCGATATCTTCCCATGGATGAATGAATAAGCCAACTGTGAAACATCCATACCGTAGAATGATATCACAATAAAAACTAAGGACCACTCATACATCAGCCAGTCAGATGAATATTCAGGGGTATGTGCTGAGGCAGGTGTGGTTATAAAAAGAGCAAGATGGGCGGGCGTGGTGGCTCACGCCTGTAATCCCAGCACTTTGGGAGGCCAAGGCGGGTGGATCACTTGGTGCCAGGAGTTGGGGCAGCCTGGGCAACATGGTGTCATCACAAAACTCATTTAAAAAAAAAAAAAAAAAAAAAAGCCAGAGCTGGGTGCAGTGGATATGCCTGTAATCCCAGCACTTTGGGAAGCCAAGCAGGCAGATCACTTGAGGCCAGGGAGTTCAAGACCAGCCTGGCCAACACAGTGAAACCTCGTCTCTACCAAAAATACAAAAATTAGCTTGGCGTGGTGGCACATGCCTGTAATCCCAGGAACTTGGGAGGCTGAAGCACGAGAATCGCTTGAACCCAGGAGGCAGAAGTTGCAGTGAGCTGAGACTGCACCACCATCCAGCCTGGGCGACAGATGGAGATTTTGAGACTCTGTCTCAAAAAGAAAAAGAAAAAGAAAAGAAAGAAAAGAAAGAAAAGAAAGAAAAGAAAAAGAAAGAGTAAAATGGGGCATCTTGGTAATCATGGAAATATGTATCTTGATCATGGCAGTGGGAATCAAACCTACTCATGTGACAAAACTGGGTAGAACTAAATGCACACAAACAATTTAACTGAAAATTAAGTGAAATCTCAATAAGATGTGTAGATAATATCAATGTAATATTTTGGTTGTGATGTTCTTATTTACCCAGTTTTGCAAGATGTTATTGTTGGGAGGAATAGGTAAAATTAGGAGAATATTTCTCTGCATTGTTTCTTCAACTACCTGTATATCTTAAATGACCACAAAATTAAAAGTTTCGTTTAAAAAAATCTACCGCTAGTTTTACATTAAGGACTTTAGTGGATGTAGTTAAACAGTGCTACTAATAACATGTATAATTCAAATTCACCAAACTTGGGAGGAATGGAGAAGCGATAAAGAGGCGTTGCCTTGGCTATGGCCCCTTCCTGATGGGGAAGTTGGGTAAATTCTCTTATATGATATTGTTTTTTATGTTAGTTCCTGCTGTTTCTGGCATTTCTATAACTTTTCAAGTACTGAAGAAAAGAACTCTCAACTATGAATTTACATATACTGGGTGAAATTGTCCTTTAGGAAAGAAGAAAATAAAACATCCTCACAAAGCGGAAAATTAAAGGGAATTTGTCCACCATAGTTACCCTTTAAAAATGGCTAGAGGAAAACCTTCAAACAGAAAAGATACTACAAGAGAAGAAATCTTGGAGTACCCAGAAAAAGAAAAAGAAAGAATGATGGAAAGATCCAGAAATACAGATGTAAACTGGATCCACTCATACATTGCTGTTGGAAATAAACAATAGTACAGCCTCTCTGGGAAACTGTTTGGCAGTTTCTTATAAAACTAAACATGCTAGTACCATATGACTCAGCAATTGTTCTCTTGGTATTCATGACAGAAATGAAAACTATATTCACCCAAAAACCAGTACCTGTTGTGAATGTTTAAAGTGACTTAACATAATATCCAAAAATTGAAAAAGAAAAAACCAGATATCTTTCCAATGAGTGAATGATTTAAAAAAAAAAAAAAACTGTTCCTATCTGTACCATGGAAAAGAAGGAACTATTCATCAATAGAAAGAAAGGAACTACTGAGAAAATAAAACTTACATTTATACAAATGTGTACATGAAGATTCTGCTTAGCTTTACACCCAGTAGACAAAAAAATAAAAATAAAATAAAAACACAAAAAAACCCACCAGACGTCCCTCGAATTACAGATGGTTGAACAAAACATAGTATATCCAGACATGCAATACTATTCAGCAATAGGAATAAACTATTAATAGAAAAAACAACCTGGACGAGTCTCTAGGAAATTAAGCTGAGTGAAAAAAGTCAATTCCAAATATGATTCCACTTATATATGTTGAACAAAATTATAGAGGTAGAGAAGATCAGTGAAGCCGGTGTTAGAAATGGGTCCTTCAGAGGTGTTGCGGAAGGGTGACCTGAGAGAGTTGGTGAGGTTATCAAGGCAACACAACAGCGCCTCATGCTGATGGAAATGATCTCTCTACCTTGGCCTAATTGGTGGGCACACAAACCTACTTGTGGAATAAAGCTGCATAATTACTAAACACACACACACACACAAATAAATACAAGTAAAATGGACATCATAAGATCTGTGGCTTGTATAAATGTGAATATCCTGGGTTGTAATATTTCTGTTGTATTTTTGCTAAATGTAATTATTAGGGGAAATTAGATGTAAGGAGTAGTCAAGTTTTTCTGTCTTATTTCTTATACCTGTGTATGATTTCTGAACTATCTCAATATGAAAAGTTTAATTTGTAAAAAGCTATCACTAAGAATTAATATTAAGAATGTTGATGAATCTAGATGAGAGGGCTGCTTGCTTGATATCCCGTAACTTCAAACTCCCACCAAAATTAGAAGTGATGGGGAAGATTTGAAAGGCGCTGGTTGGGACACTCATATTTCCCAATAAAGATGGTAATACACTGTCTGAGAGTTATTTTTCCATGTTGGTTTCATTGTTCCTGTGGCATTTAATTTTCTCAGCTACAAAAACAGAATGTCAATCATAAATTCTACATGAGGCAAAACTATCCTTCTGGAAAAAAGGTAAAGACATTTCTCAAACAAAAGAAAACTAAAAGAATCTGTCCCTAGCCCGACTTATCCATGTATGAAATCTCCAGGCCTGGTGCAGTGTCTCACGCCTACAATCCGGCTTTGGGAGGCGAGACCAATGGATTGCCTGAGCCCAAAGTTCAAGACCAGCCTGGATATGTGAGGCCCACACTCTACAAAAAAAAAAAAAAAAAAAAAAAAATTAAAAATTATGTGAGGAGTGATAGCAAGTACCTGTAGTCTAGTAGTCAGGAGGCTGAGGAGTGTCACTGGAGCCCAGGAGGTGGAGGCTGCAGTGAGCCATGATCGCACCACTGCACTCCAGCCTGGATGACAGAGTGAAAAAGAAGAAAAGAAAGAAAGAGGAAGAGGGGAGAGGAGAGAGGAGGGAGGAGAGGAGGAGGGAGAGGAGAGGAGAGGGAGAGGGAAAGGAAAGGAAGAAGAAAGAGAGAGAAAGAGCGAGAGAAAGAGAGAGGAAGGAAGGAAGGAGAGAAAGAAGGAAGGAAGGAAGGGAGGGAGGGAGGGAGGGAAGGAAGGAAATGTTAAAACAGTAAGGATATGATGAAAGGAATCCCGGAGCATCAGGAAGGAAGAAAGACCAATGAAGACCAGAAATATAGGCCGGGCACAGTGGCTCCACCACCTGTAATCCCAACACTTTGGGAGGCCGAGGTGGGTGGATCCTGAGGTCAGGAGTTCAAGACCAGCCTGGCCAACATGGCAAACCCATTTCTACTAAAAAATGCAACAATTCGCGGGCGTAGTGGTGAGTACCTGTAATCCCAGCTACTTGGGAGGCTGAGAAAGGAGAATTGCTTGAACCTGGGAGGTGGAGGCTGCAGTAAGCCGAGATTACATCCTGCACATCCAGCCTGGACAACAGAGTGAGACTCTGTCTCAATTAAAAAAAAAAAAAAGAAAGGAGAGAAAAAAGAAAGGTAAGAAATATAAATATCAAGAAACTGGATCACTCCTTTATGTATGATTCTGGAAAAATGTTTGGCAGTTTCTTATAAAACTAAATATGCTAGTACCATAAGACCCAGCAATTGTGCTCTTGACATTCATGACAGAGAAATGAAAACTTATATTTATCCAAAAAACCAGTACAAGTCTTAGAGCAGTTTAGTCCTAATACCAAAGAGTGGAGGGGAAATAATGGCCTTCAATTGGTAAATGGTTAAAAACAACTACTGTATATCCAAACCATGGAAGATTATCAGAAAAAAAGAGAACAGCCAATTACACTGTATTATATGTCAGTCTTTGGGGAGTCATGACTGAAAACAAAACAAAAAAAAAAAAACCTACCTGCCATAAGATTCCTTTATATTACCTCTTAAAGTCACAAAATTATAGAAGCCAGTGTTTGTCAGGAGCCAGGGAACAGTCAATGGGGAAGAAAATGGTGACTACAAGGAGGTGGGGGTGGTTATCAAGATGGGAGCAGCCTGGTGGTGATGGAAATGTTCTGTCTTGACTGTGGTGGTGAGAATCAAACCTATTCATGGAAAAAAATTTGCAAAGAAAGAAAATACAGTACACCCCACAGATGTTATAACTAAAACTGAGATATCTAAGACTATTTCTGTGTATTTTTATCGTATCAATATCCTGTTGTGTGTTTACTATAAATTTTGTAAGATGGTATTGTTGGAAGAAAATTAAAGCATAAAGGGGATCATTTCTATTATTTCTTACAAATACATAGCGAATCTAAAATTATTTTTTAAAATAAAAATGGCTGGAGCACAGTGGCTCACGCCTATAATCCCAGCACTTTGGGAGGGAGGCTGAGAGGCAGATCTGCCCCAGGTCAGGTTAGGGAGCCAGTCTGGCCTACATGGTGAAACCCCGCCTCTACTAAAACTACAAAAATTAGATGGGCATGGTGGCATGCCCTATAGTTCAAGCTACTTAGGAGGCTGGGGGGCAGGAGAATCTCTTGAACCCAGGAGGCGGAGGTTGCAGTGAGCCGGAGACCACACCACTGCACTCCAGCCCGGGTGACAAAGTGAGACTCCATCTCAAAAAAATAAAAATAAAGTTTAATTTTAAAAATGAGCTGCTACAACTAGCTTGCATTAAGGATGTTAATCGATCCAGATTCAATAGTGTCACTTGTAATGCAGCATCTGAAACTCACAAAATTAGGTGGTGTAGCCGGCAGATAAAGAGGAAGAACATGGGCTGCTGCCATTTCCCAAAGAAATGTGATGCATTCATTTCATCTGAGGTTGCTTTCCAGCCTGGTTTCATAGAATTGTTAGCATACCTACAGAAAGAACATTTTTCAATGGTTAGGAACTCTCAACCGTGAATTTATACATGATGAAATTCTCAGTGTGATATGGTTTGGCTGTGTCCCCACCCCAAATCTGCGCTTGAATTGTATCTCCCAGAATTCCCATGCTGTGGGAGGGACCCAGGAAGTAATTGAACCATGAGGCAGTCTTTTTCCCATGCTATTCTTGTGATAGTGAATAAGTCTCCTTGAATCTGATGGGCTTATCAGGGTTTCTCTTTTGCTTCTTCCTTATTTTCTCTTGCCACTACCATGTAAAAGTACCTTTCCTCCTGTATTATTGAGGCCTCTGACCATGTAGACTATAAGTCCAATCAAACCTCTTTTTGTTCTCAGTTTTGGGTATGTCTTTATCAGCAGTGTGAAAACAAACTAATACGAGTAATTAACAGGCAATAAGGACATTCTCACATGAAGGAAAACTAGGATTACTTATCCCGCATAGACTTGCCCTTAAAGAAAGGCCAAAGGAAAATCTTTATGCAGAAAGGATATGATGAAAAAAATGGGTCTTTGGCCATCGGGAAGAAAGAAAGAAGAGAAAGAGCAGAAATATGCATGCAGAGAAATTAGATCACTCAGATATTACTGGTGAGGAGATAAAATGATACATCCCCGCCTTTCTGCCCATGGACTCCGCTGAAGAAGCATCGTTAAAGTCTCTCTTCTCTCTGCCATCATGTCTAAGTCAGAGTCTCCTAAAAAACCCCAACAACTGAGGAAGCTCTTCATTGGAGGTTGAGCTTTAAACAACCAATGAGAGCCTGTGAAGCCATTCTGAGCAATAGGGAATGCTCTCACGGACTGTGTGGTAATAGATCAAACACCAAGTGCTCCAGGGGCTTTGGGTTTGTCCATATGCCACTGTGGAGGTGAATGCAGCCATGAATGCAAGGCCACACAAATTGGACAGAGGAGTTTTGGAACCAAAGAGAGTTGTCTCCAGGGAATTCTTAAAGACCAGGTGCCCACTTAACTGTGAAAAAGATATTTGTTGGTGGCATTAATGAAGGTACTGAATAACATCACCCAAGAGATTATTTTGAACAGTATGGAAAAATTGAAGTGATTGAAATCATGACTGACCGAGGCAGTGGCAAGAAAAGGGGTTTTGCTTTTGTAACCTTTGATGACCATGACTCCGTGGATAAGACTGTCATTCAGAAATACCATACTGTGAATGGCCACAACTGTGAAGTTAGGAAAGCCCTGTCAAAGCAAGAGATGGCTAGTGCTTCATCCAGCCAAAGAGGTCGAAGTGGTTCTGGAAACTTTGGTGGTGGTCGTGGAGGTGGTTTCAAAGTGGAATGACAACTTTGATCGTGGAGGAAACTTCAGTCGTCATGGTGTCTTTGGTGGCAGCCATGGTGATGGTGGATATGGTAGCAGTGGGGATGGCTATAATGGATTTGGCAACAGTAATGATGGAAGCAATTTTGGGGTGGTGGAAGCTACAATGATTTGGCAATTACAACAGTCTTCAAATTTTGGACCCATGGAGAGGAGGGAAATGTTGGAGACGGCTCTGGCCCCTATGGTAGTGGGAGGCCAATGCTTTGCCAAACCACGAGGCAAGGTGGCTATGGTGGTTCCATTAGCAGCAGTAACTATGGCAGTGGCAGAAGATTTTAACTAGGAAACAAAACTTAGCAGGAGAGGAGAGCCAGAGAAGTGACAGGTAGGCTTCCCAGGTGACAACAGATTTGTGAACTGAGCCAAGCACAGTGGTGGCAGGGCCTAGCTGCTATGAAGAAGACATGTTTTAGACAAATACTCACATGTATGGGCAAAAATTCGAGGGCTGTATTTGTGACTAATTGTATAACAGGTTATTTTAGTTCCTGTTCTGTGGAAAGTATAAAACATTCCAACAAAGAGTTTTAATGTAGATTTTATTTTCTTGCATCCATGCTGTTGATTGCTAAGTGTAATAGTCTGATCATTACACTGAATAAATGTCTTTTAAAAAAAAGATACAGCCCCTCTGAAAAAAAGTTTAGCATTTTCTTATAAAACTAAATATGAAGTACCATATAACCCAAAATTGCATGCAAACTTGTTTACACAAAAACCAGTACATAAATGTTCATAGAGCTTTACTTGTATTGACCAAAAATGAAAACACCCTGATGTCATTCAATGAATAAACAGATAAACGGTTATACATCACTACTATGGAATAGTACTCAACAATAAAAATGGAGGAACTATTGATGCATACAACAATTGGTATGAATCTCAAGAAAATTATGTTTAGTGAAAAAAAGCCATGCTCAAAAGGTTACACAGCATTTAGTTGCATTTAAGTAACAACATTCAAATAGCGAAATTCTGGCAAGCAAGTGAGATTGCTGACTATCCAGTAGTTAAAGATAGGGCAAGATGAGAGAAGGGAGATCAGGGGAGGTGGCTGTTGTTATAAAAGAGAACAATATAAAGGATCCTTGTAGTGATGATGGAAATGTTCTGTGGTAGCAACTAATAGTGGACATGTAAATTGACTCATGATTAAATTTCATAGAACTAAATACACACACACTGGTGTAAGGAGCTTAATCAATGCCAATATCCTGGTTTGCAGGATATAGTTCCTTAGATGTTATCATTGGGAAAATGGTGAAATACACATAGGATCTCTTACAGTTTCTTACAACCACATGTGAATTCAAAATTATCTCCAAATAAAAAGGTAGCTTTTTGGTTTTTTTTTTTTTTTTTTTAAAGAGCTATCACTGACTTGCATTCAGGATGTTGATGGAAAATAAACTCTCAGCCACAAATTCTATGCCCAGCAAAACTATCCTTAAAGAATGTTAGGAAAATAAAGACATTTTCAAATGCAGGAAAACTAAAGAAACCTGAAAGAAAGGCTGAAGAAAAGTATTCAAACAGAAAGGAATTGATGAAAAAAGAAAATATAGAGCATCCAGAAGGAAGAACAACAGAAATAACAGAAATATGAATGTGGAGAAACTGGATCACTCACGCATTGCTGGTGGAAATGGAAGATAATACAGACTCTCTGGAAAACTATTTGACAGTTTCTTATAAAACTAAACATGCTAGTACCATAAGGCTCAGCAATTACACTCATGGCATTCATGACAGAGAAATGAAAACTTATATTTACAGAAAAACCTGTTCATGACTGTTCATAGCGGCTTCACTCCTAATATCCAAAAACTGGAAAAAAACAATTTGATGCCTTTTCAATGGGTGAATGGCTAAACAAACTGTGGCATAGCCATACTATGAAATATAAATCAAAAATAAAAAGGAGGGTAGGCTGGGCATGGTGGCTCACGCCTGTAATCTCAGCACTTTGGGAGGACACGGCAGGCAGACGACTTGAGGTCAGGAGTCTGAGACCAGCCTGGCCAACATGGTGAAACTCTGTCTCTACCAAAACTACAAAAATTAGCTGGGCATGGTGGCACACACTTGTAATCCTAGCTATTTAGGAGGCTGAGGCATGAGAACTGCTTGAATCCAGGAGGCAGAAGTTGCAGTAAGCCAAGATCGCGCCACTGCACTCCAGCCTGGGCAACAGAGAAGGCCCCATGTCTTTAAAAAAAAAAAAAAAAAAAAAAAAAAAAAAAAAAGGAGAAGCTCCTGATACATGCAACAAGCTGGGTGAGTTTCAGAGAACCATACTGGTGAAAAACACCAATCCCCAAAATTACATACTATAACATTCCCTTAATGTAACATTCTTGAAGTGACAAAATTATAAACAGAGAACAGATCAGTAGTTACCAGGTGTTAGGGATGGGGCAGGTTGAAAGGAAGGGATGACATGAGGAAAGTGAATGTGATTATCAAAGGGCAAGACGAGGCATCTTTGCAGTGACAAAGAAACGTTCTATGTCTTTGCCAGAGTAGACATTAAAACTATATGATAAATTGCAAAGAACTAGACAGACAGACACAAATTAATTACAAGTAAACCTGAGGATATCTCGAGTAAGATCAATGGAGTGTATCAATGTCAATACCTTGGATGTGATATTTTACTATAGTTTTAAAGATGTTATCCTTTGGGGGAAATGGCTAAATCATAAACAGGTCTCTGCATTATTTCTTACAACTGTGTGTGAATCTAAAATTATCTCAAACTAAAAAGTTTAATTTGAAAAGAGTCACACTAGCTGACATTAAAAAACTGGTGAATCACGCTGGGCGCAGTGGCTCACGCCTGTAATCCCAGCACTTTGGAAGGTAGAGGCGGGCAGATCACTGGGGTTGAGGATTGGAGACCAACCTGACTAACATGGAGAAACCTCGTCTCTACAAAAATACAAAAAAACTAGCCAGGCGTGGTGGTGCATGCCTGTAATCCCAGCTACACTGGAGGCTGAGGTAGGAGAATCACTTGAACCTGGGAGGCGGAGGTTGCAGTGAGCCAAGATCGAGCTATTGTATTCCAGCCTGGGCAATAAGAGCAAAACTCCATCTCAAAAAAAAAAAAAAAAAAAAAAACTAGCTGGCAAATCAAGATTAAATATTGCTATCTTGCATGTTTTCTTATTTATTTATTTATTTATTTATTTATTTATTTATTTTAGGCGGAGTTTCGGCTCCTGCTGTGCCCGAGCTGAGTTAAAATGGCACAATCTCAGCTCACTGCAACCTCCACCTCCAGGTTCAAGTGATTTTCCTGCCTCGGCCTCCTGAGTAGCTGGGATTACAGGTGCCCACCACCACGCCCAGCTAATTTTTGTATTTTTAGTAAAGACGGGGTTTCACCATGTTGGTCAGGCTGGTCTCAAACTCTGGCGTCAGGTGATCTGCAATCCCAAAGTGCTGGGATTACAGGTAATAACCACATGCCCAGCATTATGTATCATGTCAAACTCACCAAAATAGGGAGGGATGAAGACAGATAAAGAGGCAGTATTTTGGCCACTGTAATTTCCCATTAAAGTTGGGTAATTCACTGTCTCAGTGCTGTTTTTACTGCTGTTTGCTGGTCTTTCTGGCATTTCTATAAATAAAAAGTTTTCAAGAGCTGTATGCAAGAACTTCACCACAAATTCTATACCAAGCAAAATTATCCTTCAAAAAGAAGAAGAAACAGACATTCACACACAAGGAAAACAAAAGAATTTGTTCCCAACAGACTTACCCTTAAAAGATTAAAGAAAACTCTTCAATCAAAAAAAAAAAAAAAAGAAAATGATGAATGGAATCTTGGAGCATCAGGAAGAAAGAACAAAAGAAAGAGGAGAAATATGCATTCAGAGAAAATAGATCACCCATATATAGCTGGCAGGAATGTCAGATGGTACCTGGAAAATAGTTAGGCAGTTTCTCATAAAACTAAACATGCATGTCCAAACTCATCACACTGGGTATAGTAAATATGTGCAGTTTTTTACTTATTAACTACTACGGTTTGAAGGTATCTTTTCCAAAATTCAGGTGTTGCCACTGTGATCATATTAAGAAATGGGACCTTTAGAGATAGTTAAGCTGAGGCTCCTCCTCATGAATAGGATGGAGGCCCCTTATAAAAGAGGCTTTCACACAGCATTTTGAAATCTTACCCATCTACCTTCTGCCATGTGAGGACACAGTGCTCCTCTCTTGCAGAGGATGCAGCCCTCACCAGACAGACGAACTGGCTGGCTGCTTTATCTTGAACTTCCCAGCCTCCGGAGCTGTGAGAAATTACATTTCTGTTCTTTTTCAATCACCCTGTCTATGGTATTTGTTGCAGCAACACAAACAGACCAAGACATTAATATATCCAATAAAGATTTGTTTGCAAACCTAAACATGCAATTAATATATAACCAGCAGTTGTACTCTTCAGGTAATCATGTTAGAGAAATGAAAACTTCCATTTACACAAAAATTTGTATATGAATTTTCATAGCAGCCTTACTCCTAATAGTCAAAAACTGAAAAAATAGTTTCCTTCAATAGATGAATGGTTAAACCATGGTACACCTATACCATGGAATAGTACTTGGCAATAAAGGAACTACTGAAACACACAACTTGGTTGAGTCTCCAGGGGATTATGTTGAGTGAAAAAAAAAACAATACCAAAAGGTTACATACTATATGCATTCAATTAAGTGATAAAATTATAGAAATGGAGAAGATCACACTTGCCAAGGGTTAGGAATGAGCCAAGTGGGGAAAGGAAAAAGGAGGATGGGTTTGGTTATAGAAGAGGGCAATACAAGCATACTTTCTGGTGATAGAACCGTTCTGTATCTTGACTATGATAGGAACATACAAACTTTCTCAAGTGACAAAATTGTTTTTAAAAAAGCCGAAAGTCAGACACACAAATGAATACAGAGCACCAGCCTTATGAGATGTTACCACTGAGGAAAATTGGGGAAAGGGTATCTCTCTGTATTATTTCTTACAACTACATATGAATTTATAATGATTTCAAGATAAAACTTTTAATTTAAAAAACAGCTAACACTAATTTGCATGAAGGTGTTTAAAATCTAGATTGAAGAATGCTATCTGTAATATGTGTCATTTCAAACTCACCCAAATTGGGATGGATGCAGAAAGATGACAAGGCTCTACCTGGGCCCACATCTTCATTTTCCAGTAGAGCAGAGTAATTCACCACACCAGGGTTATTTGCCAGATTGGGTTCTCCTTGTGACAGACCTGCCATAGGTACTGCTGTAGTAGCATCGGCAAATGAGATGACAGCATGGGTACTTTCAGCACCTCCACTGATAAAGTTACACCCAGCATACCGAAACAAGGAAATGAGCCACCTTGTGTGACATACGGCTGCTAATGAGGCATTGAGAGACAATTCTGGGATATGATGAACTCTCACTGGTCACCCCTTCCTGCAGTTCAGGACATGCTGCTGACTCAAGAGATGCTACAGCAGGGCTGGCCCAGGCATGGGTTTCCTGCCTTTCTGCTGGTGGTGGTGTGCTAGACTGTACCTATCCCGGGTAAGAGAACAGAATGAGTAAAGTTATTTTCTTCGGTTCCTAGACTTCAATTTTTCCATGAGACATACAATCAAAACTTTTTTGTGTAAATCCAGATGACCTCTAAAATGACACCAACCCAGTATAAATCAACTGTAACTTAAAATGAGGCTTAAAAAGTTGATTTTAAAAAAACATTCCTATGTATTTTCCTTGCAACATCATTTTCCATTGTTAAGGATAAATGCTGTACTTTGATTATATGATTTTTATTCTTCTTCAACCTACGTTTTATACATGATAATTACTAACATAAAAAATACTAGTGTTGTAATCTGTCAGACTAACTTATTTATTCTTCCAAGGAATTTTAGTCCCCCATCTGCTATTACAGTAAAGTAGAGAAAAGCCTTGCTAATCTCAGAGTTACTAGTTCTCTATCAGTTCTAACTGATTGGTGTCTTTAGGAGCTAGGAGTTTATCAAAGTTGTAAAAATGTTTTTGTAACACACATTTTATCAAAGGTGGTTGCTCCCAAGAACACTGCACTTCTGAAACAGCTCCACAAAGATGGTCAACTTGCATAGTGGTATTTTCAATAAGATCTTCTACATTCTATTATACTTAAAAAATAGTAGTTCATATTTCCAAAAAGAAACTATAACATATGTGAAAACGCCATTAAGTCAAATGTTAACTGCTAGACACAACAAAAGTTCTCGGCCACAGAAATGTCTTGCTCTATTCGAGGCCTGGCTGTAGGTGACACAAAGCCAGCAGGCTGAGCTCAGGAGCCCCAATATCCCCTCTGCTGCTCTACCCCATGCAGGCACTAAGGATGCTCTAATGCCAGCAAATGAAAGTGCCGCTATGCCTCTACACCAGCACATTGATGATGAAAGTACTGCACATCAAGGAAGGTGCTATTTTACGAAAAGAAATCCTCAAATCTGCTAAAAGGCCAAAGACTCACTTTATAATGTTCATATGTAACATATATGTTAAATATGTACAAATATGAAGTCGATATTATATACAGAGAGTGAGTGTTCCACTCCAGAAAGAATAGTAAGCCAAATATAACAGATGTGACTTTTGGCTTCAAACATTTTAAAATCATGCAGTCAACAACTAATCTTACAAAACCATTGGTACACATCACAAGTGCCAATCAAGCATATATGACTGATACAAATCTGAGAATTCCTCTTGAAATACACAGAAACTTTGGGCAAAAAAAAAAATACACTTAAACAAAGGGCCAGAAACATTTCCTCATTCATTCATTCAACTAAGCCCTTTATTGACGGCCTACCATCTGTAGAACTACTTTGCTATGTGTTGGAAACATGGACTGAAGAAAGCTCCTAGCCGGGCACGGTGGCTCACGCCTGTAATCCCAGCACTTTGGGAGGCTGAGACAGGCGGATCATGACTCCAGAAGTTCGAGACCAGCCTGAGCAATGGCAGAACTCCATCTCTAACAAAAACAACAACAACAACAACAAAACCTCCGTTTCCGGAAAAAAAAAAAAAATACGAAAAAGTAGCCAGGCATGGTGGCATGCACCTGTAGTCCCAAGATACTTGGGGAGCCTGAGGTGGGAGAATCACCTGAGCCTGGGAAGTTGAGGATACAGTGAGCCGGCTTGCACCACTGCACTCCTGCCTGGGCAATGGAATGAGACCCTGTCAAAAAAAAGCTCCTGTCCTAGAGGAACTACCATCTCAGCTGGGAGAGAGACAAGTAAAGAGAGGATTCAATAGACAAAAGTGATTAGCAGCCTGGAGACAGTGGTTTGCAAGTGGTCACAGACCAGTAGCATCAACATCACCTGAAGCTCATTAGAAATGCCAAATTTCAGGCTGTACCCCAGACCTCTGGAGTCAGAAACTCTGAGAGTGGCAACAGTGGTCTATGTTTTCCACAAGCCCCAGGTGATTCTGATGCTCCCAGTAAACACTGGGCTATGGCAATGAGGTAAATAGTGCAGGCTCTAGGGAACATGGTTGAGGTCAAGCGCTAGAGTCCAGCCACTTATTGGCTGTGTGACCCTGGGCAGGATTACTTAACACTCTCTGTGCTTCAATGTCCTCATGTAGGGAATCGAATGAAAATCTCTCTCAGGGTTCTCTTGAGACAAGAACCTTGCTATAGTATTAGGTTAATATTAACAGTAACAACACTACACTATGCCCGGTCCAACAGTGCTCAGTGGTCTCTTCCTGTTACTATTGTTATTACCAGCACCATGACACAGACAGGAACAGGAGGCTAAGTGTGCACAGAAGAGTGGGCCCTAACCCAGACTGGCAGAAGTCATGGAGAGCTTTTCAGAGGAGGTGAGGTCTGAAGTGAGAATTAAAAACATGAGAAGGTGCTCTCCAGGTGAGGATGCATGGAAGGGTTTACAGGGTAGAAGAAACAGTGAGTTCAAAATGCCCAGAGAAAAACAGGAAGCCAGATGTAAAGACAGCAAGTATGAATGACATTCAGGAGCAGGGCTGCCATGGGAAGGAGAGAGTGAGGATGACAGCAAAGAAGGGATGGGAGGCAAGAGAAGTGGCTTCTCCAAGCTGTGGGAGAACTTGTAGAGGGGAAGGAGGGACAGGGGCTAGAGCCAGAGGAGAGAGAAAGGGACACCCGATGGGGGGCAGCTCTGAGTTCGGGGAGGGGACTAGATGCAGAAAGCAGCAAGGATGTCAGCCCTGGTCACTGATGGTCGGGAAGGGGTCAGAAGAAGGGCGAGGATGGGGGCAGTTGGTTGGCTGTGGGGACAGATATGAGGAGTTGGAGGAGAGGACTGCCCCAGGCACTCCACTGTCTCCAGGAGTGAAGAGGCAGGACTAGGGGGCTGGAATGAGGCTGGGGACTGCCAACAGAGGTCCTCCTCTGCTCCCAGCTAAGCAGGACGGAGGTGGACTCAAGAGGGAACTGGGATGAAAGACAAAGGCATGCTGCAGCGCCACCGTGATCTAGAGCGGGCAGGGGGAGGAAGAGGCCAACTCCTTAGAGACAGCTGGAGAGGAGCCATTGGGGCCATTTCAGGCTGACTGTGGCCCTAGGCACCTCCTCCCACGAATACTGCCTCCCACCCCAGTGTGCAGGCTTGCCGAGAGGGACCCTGGTCTAGCAGTGCAGGGGAGGCAGGCTAGGGAGAACCTGCTCCCTACCTTCTCAGCTAGCCTCTGTGCCCACTTCCCCCCAAGACTGCATGTGTCCTTGGAAGCCCTCACCTTTCTGTTCTCCCCCATGATCATGATAAATGCCCAAACAATTTCACTTCCCAAAATATTTTAGCTCATTCCATTCAAGAAACATTATACACGGTAAGAAACATTTTTTTTTCTAATAAACCTTCATTACCTCTGGCTTATAACACAAAATCTTGATAATCACATATTTACCAACATGGTGATTCTTATAAAAAAGGAAAGAAGGAAACAAAATGCTTCAGAGCTCATTTATCTAATGAAAAAAGAAACATACAGATTCAGGAGAGAGATATTTCCTTAGAAAGCCTGAGTTCAGAGTAATTCTACAGTGTATCACGAAGACTGAAAAAAAGAATCCAAATTGCTTTCTTGGAATATATTTGGCAATGAGGATTTAATATAATATAAAGATTCAAAGTCTGGTATACACTCATTAATAATCTTCCACCTTCTTCACAATCAAGTATTTATGTTACTGTCTAAGGAAAGTTTATTAATAAACCAAAAGGAAATATGAAAGAAAGAAAAGTTCAGGACTTCTATTTCATTTTCAAGAAGCACCTAGAGCCTATTTGTGATATCAAAAAGGACCTTTGCCGATTGCAAATCCTACAACTACAGGAAAAGATATATTTGCAGAATTGTGTTCTCTTTAACCCAGCTACACTTAAGACACCATTTTCATCAAGCAACATTTATATACTTTATTGGTAGATAAACAGGTTTTCTAACACCAGAACTGCTTTAAAAGCAAGTGTTTCTAACCATGAACAAAGAACCAAATGTTAAATGGCTTTTGATTTTCAAATAAACCAACAGTGACACTCTGTGGACAAGACAAGAAACACCCAACCACCTATATTTCTTGATAAATTAATCTGTAAATCATCTTAAATATTTTTGGAGTAAGGCAGGAGTATAAATAAGTAGCAAACAGTAAATAACCATTATATTTCTGAAAAATTATTCTAAGGATGAATTGTGGGCCATAAAAATAATTTTAACATAAACATACCAAGTAGTTATCTACTTCTTTGTTTCAAAATACATAATAAAAAATTAACTGAATTAGCCCAGCATTACAAACTTATTAGACAGCCCAGAAATTATATCAAATTATAATAGATATTAATAATTGTAAACACAATATTACCATCTTACCCTTGTATAGTGCTTCATGCTTTCCAAAGTGCTTTCAGATAATTATGTACAAAACCATGACACTGGGCAGATAATTAGCATTATCCCCAAAAATGAAAACATTGAGGCTGATAGAAGTTAAGAATTGCCTACACTACTTACGTGGCACTGATATCCACATCCTTATGTAGGTAAACAAATACATTTTCTGTTAAGCCAAATTATATATAGTTTAATAATCTATTTTATTCAACTTCAGAGATCAAAAAGCACAGGAGAATATAGTGGTAATGTAAAACAGTACGACCACTTAGAAAAACTGGCAATTTCTCATAAACTTTCAATTACCCCATTACCTAATACTTCCTCACAGGTATTTACCCAAATTAAATGTAAACATAGGTTCACAAAGAGACTGCCATAAGCGTTTTCATAGTCACTTTATTCCTAATAGCCCAAAATTGCAAACAACCCAAATGTCCATCAAAAGAATGGATAGGCCGGGTGCGGTGGCTCATGCCTATAATCCCAGGGCTTTGGGAAGCTGAGGCAGGCAGATCACCTGAGGTCAGGAGTTTAACACCAGCCTGGCCAACATGGTGGCTGCAGTCTCTACTAAAAATACAAAAATTAGTCAAAATGTGGTGGTGGGCGCCTGTAATTCCAACTAGTCAGGAAGCTGAGGTAGGAGAATTGCTTGAACCCGGGAGGTGGAGGTTGCAGTGAGCCGAGATGGTGTCACTGCACTCCAGCCTGGATGACACCACTTGAACTCCTGTCTCAGAGGAAAAAAAAAAAAATGGGTAAGCAGATTATGAGTATTCATATGACAGAATACACTCAACTTAATGAACAGGAATGTAATATTAATGCTATGAAACAAATCTCCAAAACATTATTCTAAGGAAAAAAGACTATGACCCAAAACAGTACATACCATACAATTCTATTTATGTGAAGTTCTAGAACAGGCAAAACTCATCTAGGATGGAAAAAAACATCAAATGTATTTCCCCAAAGTTAAAGGGGAGATGGGGACTTACTGGGAAGAGGTCCAGGTCACTTTCTAGAGATGATGAAAATGTTCATTACCATCTTTTTTTTTTTTTTTTTGAGACAGAGTATTGTTCTGTCACCCAGGCTGGAGTGCAGTGGCACAATCTCGGCTCAATGCAACCTCCGCCTCCCAGGTTCAAGTGATTCTCCTGCCTCAGCCTCCCGAGTAGCTAGGATTTCAGGCATGCACCACCACGCCCAGCTAATTTTTTTGTATTTTTAGTAGAGATGGGGTTTCACCATGTTGACCAGGCTGGTCTCAAACTTCACAACCTCAGGATCTACCTGCCTTGGCCTCCCAAAGTGCTGAGATTACAGGCGTGAGCCACCCTTCAACAAATGTTTATTATCTTCATGGGGTGTAAGTATACACATTTTTCAAAACTCACTGATTTGTGCATTTGACTGCATGAAATTCAACTCCATTTCTTAAAAAGAAATACAGCAGAATGAAAAGAACAAAGAGAGATTTTCACTTTAATAAACAAACCATAATATCTACCTCTGGAGTAGATAATCTTCCTCTTTTTGGCAAATCCACTTCCTCTGAGTTGTAACTGTATCTTTTTAAATGTACTGGGCATTTGATCTGTGAAATGGTTTGGTCTGCATAGGCTACTGCAGAAGCAATGCATAAAAAAGTTATTTCTTGCTACTCTCTTAATAACCTTATCTGGATATGTTCTCAGAATGCTAACTCAAATTGAATTGGACTTTGGGTTGAATTTTAGGTGACAAAACAGAATTCTTCCATGATCAATTTAGAGTAACTCTTTTTAAAACTGAGAAGGGCTATATTACCCATGACTAGAATAGAGAATCAAATCAAATGCAATTGCAAACTGTGAAGTGACTGCTTAGTAACTTCAAGCCTACACAGTAAATGCTGTAAACAAATGAACAAGAGAATGCAAGGGCTAACTGCTTTTGTAAAGGCCCAAAGGCCACAATGACTAAGGAGACAGTTGTGTACAAATGTAAGCCAGGAATCTATTCTAGATCGGACCCCCACCACTATGTGGGCTGGGCAGACCACTAGAGACACCACCTCCTCATCTGCCAGGTTAACATCAGTTGAGATGATCTCACAAGGTCCATTTCAGCTTTCAAGTTAGGATTGCCTTATTAAAGTTTATATTCATCCTAAATAAATGGATGTGAAATGCATCAAACAATCTAGATTGAAGATCTGGTTATGGCTCTGATCACTTAACTACGGAACTAGAAGAAGACATTGACCGCAACAGTATTGGATTATATCTTGTACTAGAGATTTGCTTTGAAAGCCTGCATCACAGTGACTGGGAGGGACACTTTAATGAAAGAGCTACTTCACTTAAACCTTCCTGAGCCAGGGCAGTAATGAGGCTGGTCAAGTTCAGGTTTCATCTCTTTCTGTTCCCTTTCATTCTATGAGTGGAGATTCTAATGACCAGGACCCAAAGAGAGAAATCAAAAGGGGATAAAGAAAATGGAGAACTCTCATTAGATAAACACAGACTAAAGTTATATAGAAATATCAAGTTATAAAATACCTCCAGGCTGGACCCAGTGGCTCACACCTGTAATCCCAACATTTTAGGAGGCTGAGGCAGGATGATCATTTAGACTCAAGAGTTGGAGATTCCCAGCCTGGGCAACATGGCAAGATGTAATCTCTAATAAAAATTTTTTAAAAAATTAGCTGGCATGGTGACATGCCTGTCATCCCAGCTACTGGGAAGGCTGAGGTGGGAGAATTGCTTGAGCCCAAGAGGTTGAAGCTGCAGTAAGCTGTGATCGTGCCACTGCACTCCAGCCTGGGTGACAGAGTGATACCTGTGTCAAAAATATAATAATAATAAAAGATACAGTAAGATACCTCCAAATTGAGCTGTAACTTCAGCAAATTTTATTTTTTAAACTGTTTGAGTTTTCTGACTATAATACAGGCTATAAGTAATTAAATTCTGATGTATTCAAACAAAACTATGTTGTGAATAAACCAACTATTGGAGCACATAGCAAGAAGTAAAAAAAGCCAGACACAAGCCGGGTGTGGTGGCACGTGCCTATAGTTCCAGCTACACAGGAGCTGAGGCAGGAGGATCAATTGAGCCCAGGAGTTCAAGTACAGCATGGGCAACACGGCAGGACCCTGTTTCTGAAAAAAATGCCAGATATAAAAGAGAGTATAGCATATGATTCAATTGGTATAAAACTCAAAAACAGAAAAAAGTAATCAATGGTAGGAGAAGTCAGGATAGTGGTTACCTTACAAAGAAGAGTAGTATGACTGAGGGGCTGGATAAGATTCTAGGGAGCTCATAACCTTATATTTCTTGTTATGGGTGCTGGTTATATGCATGTATTAGTTTGAAAGGTATTTAAGCTGTATATTTATGATGTGTGCATATTTTGTATGTCATATAACTTCCATAAAAAGTTCACCTATGGCCGGGCGTGGTGGCTCATGCGTGTAATTCCAGCACTTTGGGAGGCTGAGGCGGGCGGATCACTTGAGGCCAGGAGTTCGAGACCAGCCTGGCCACAATGTAAATCCTCTCTATTAAAAATACAAAAATTAGCTGGGTGTGGTGGTGCACGTCTGTAATCCCAGCTACTCGGGAGGCTGAGGCAGAAGAGTCGCTTGGGCCAGGAGGCAGAGATTGCAGTGAGCCGAGATCACCACTGCACCCCAACCTGGGAGCAGAGAGAGACTCCATCTCAAAAAAAAAAAAAAAAAAAAAAAAAAAGTTCACCTAAAATTCAGCTCATTATAAATAACTCAGAATCTAAATAAAAAGAGAAAGCAATCCATCAGCAATAAATATTGTAACCTTTAAATACATTTATTTATCTTACTCATATATTTTTTAAGCAATTTTGTGTGTCATTTATAATTTTTAAAATATTTTTAAATGCCTGCATGATATTCCATTTTATGGTTGTCCAGAGGTTCTGTTATCTGTTTTCCACTGTAGGACATTTATATGGCTTCTAATTTTTCACTATTTTGATATAATGATGTGTATACATTGAAAGGCAAACATTTATCATTTCAATCATTTGTAAGTATACAATTCAGTGGCATTAAATATATTCAGAGACTTGTATAACGATCATCACTATCTATACCCAAAATATTTCTATCATCTCCAACATATACTCTGTACCCATTACCTCCCCTCACCTCAGTCCCTGGTAACCTCTATTCTACTTTCTGTCTCCATGATATCAGATGTTCTATAACACACTAAAGAAGCATCCTGCTAGCCCTGCTTATAGTTTTAAAACCAAAACAGATAAGTGATATCAAACTGCTTTTTTGGTATCAGATCAGGGAGCAAACCATAACCTGTGGACCAAATCCGCTTTGCCACCTGCTTTTGTATAGCTTATAAGCTAAGATGTTATGGAGTTTTTTTACATTTCTAAATTATGGGGGGGGGAGAGAATATTTCCTGAAATGGAAAAATTATAGGAAATTCAAATTCCATAAGTTTATTGAAACACAGCCACAACCATCCGTTTACATATCAGCTGCTTTCATGCTATAAAGGCAGAGTTAAATACTTAAAGCAGAGACCTTATGGCCTGTGAAGCCTAAAATATTTATCTGGCCCTTACAGAAAAAATGTACCAGTCTCCAACATAAGCAATAACATTTCCATGTTTTGAAGAGAAGAAAATCCAATTCTCTAAGCAAAGGGTGAAGAATAAATTGTCATATAGCTAAGGAAGAAATATTCCAAGGAATTAACGTCTCATGACTCTCTGTACAAGTGAGGATGTAGGAGGTCTCACATTTCCTAGAGAGCCATTCAAAGGACTAGTGGCTATAGTAGTTCTGGTTGCAGGACTCCACTTTCCATGGGATTTTGGAGGCTAATGTAAATTTCAAATTCCAATTGTTTGTTGTTGGCATGTAGTACAGTGATTAACTTTTGTATATTAACCTGTTTCCTGCAACCTTGCTATAATCACTTATGACTTCCAGAAGATTTTTGTTGATTCTTTGAGACTTTCTACATAGATAATCATGCCACCTGCTCCATGGACTCTTGACTCAAGCTGTTATTCCTAGAAGTTCAGTTTTAGCTTTTTACTTTTGCATTGCCACCAAATTGTTATAATTATGGTTGCAGATATAAATAATTGTTCAAAGAGAATATATTCTCCCCAATGCTTCCTGAGACTGTCTCACACAGAACAAAGAACATGGCAAAGGTTAAGTGAAGGAAAACGCAAGCAGAAGTAAACATTGTGGTATTACCACGAAGCTAAGCCCTCTGGTCATAACTAATTATTGTAAAGGTTACAGGAATATTTAAGCAATTTACTGGAAATGGGGACCGAAACAAAAATTTTGCCAAAGAGAGGGTAACAAAATTACCATATGACATTTGGAGTGGAGCGGTGATGGTCATCACTGCCGCTGGAAGGAGCTTGGTTGTGTGGCTGTGTCATCAGTGGGATTATCTGCTGTGTCATAAGTGGAATAATTTGCTATGTCATCAGTGGAATTATCTGCTGTTTCAGAATCTTCCACCATCTCCAATGCTGCACTCATTATCATCACTGTCGTCAACAGTTACAATAACAAAATCTAAGAATAAGCAAAGAGAAAGATTAGATTCAATACCACATTAAATAAACAGTTTCTTGAGGAAGCTACCTTATAAAGTTATAGATTGTTTAAAAAAGTATCTTAGCTGAAAATTTGTATTATGTATTTTTATATGTAATCATTACAAGTTAGCTAATGAACCATAGTAGGAGTTTTGGAAGTATGTATATACATATGTATGCGTATACACACATAGACTACTATCTCTAGTACTTCCAATTTCGTAGAGCAATAAATTTCTTCTCATTTAAGAAATGTGGCCAGCTGGCCCATGCCACAGTGTTCAATGATATCCTTTTAACTTAAATGATGCAACTGGTGTTAAGTAGACATACTTGTGGTGACCATGATGTTCTAAACTTGTTCTCTAAAAACTAGTATTAGTGTCTATGATGACTGATAATGCAGAAATAAAGTGGAAAAGTAAATGTTGTTATGAAATGAATTAAATCTGAATCTCACAAAATGTGAAATAGGTAACCACAAATATACCAGATGTGAAATATCAACTTGGTAAACCATTTTAATGAACACGAAAACACATTATGCAAAATGTCTAAGATCAAAATAAGCTTTATTTCTTAAAGCCCCAGCTGAAAAAGAACACATTTAAGCTTGAAGTATTTACTCAGAGATCACATTTAAACTACATCATAACTTGGATTTAATTCTTATTTCAAAAAGACTAATGCAGGAGAATAAAATAATTAGCTAGTGTGAGGGGCATGTGATGAAAATGAGTACTAAATTAGGAATCACAGAATGAATGTTCCAATTCAGGCTCTGTAATTATCCAGAGGTATGACCATTGGGCTAGATAAATTGACTCTTTTGCCTCTGTTTTCTCACCCATAAAAGTGGGGTTTTTAAGAGTCACTCTGAAGTCTACTTAATAGTCTTCATGGAAAAAAAAAATATATGACATTAGAAACCACTTAACTATCTAAACCAAAGTATTAAATAAACAAAAGCTTAAATAAATTATGGTATTTCCCTGAGCTGGAATGGTATATTGCCAATAAGAAGTGTGTTCTCAGGTAGAGTGACGGTAGCGGAAATGCCTGTAATCCCAGTACTTTGGGAGGCCAAGTGGGGCAGATCGCTTGAGCTCCAGGGGGTCGAGACCAACCTGGGCAACATGGCAAAATTCCGTCTCTACCAAAAAATAATAATGATAATAATAATACAAAAATTAGCCATGCGTGGTGGCATGCGCCTGTAGTCCCAGTTACTCGGGAGGCTGAGGTGGGATGGCTTGCACCCGGGAGGCTGAGGTTGCAGTGAGCCAGGATCCCACCACTGCACTCCAGCCTGGGCGGCAAGCAGAACCTTATCCTCAGCAAAAGGAAGAAGGAAGGAAGGAAGGAAGGAAGGAAGGAAGGAAGAAGGAAGGGAGGGAGGGAGGGAGGGAGGGAGGGAGGGAGGGAGAGGAGGGAAAAGCAGAGGAAGGAAGGAAGGAAGGAAGAGGAAGGAAGGAAGGAAGGAAGGAAGGAAGGAGAGGAGGAGGCGAAGAAGCAGCAGCGGCAGCAACAGCAACATGTTCCCAAAGAAAATGTACTAATATTAGATATGCTTGTGAAATAAAAGTTAAATAAAAAGTTAAAAAAGGGGGAGAAAAAGGATTCAAAACAGAAAAATACAGTATAATCCTAACTTTGAGAGCCAAAGGTAACATACCAATGGTTATCTAGGTGGCTATCACTGAATAGCAAATTTATTATCATTAGACCTCTGCCGATTCTCTACAATAAACTTTAGATTCTGTCATCAGAAGAAAATAACCAAAGGCAATTAGTATTTTTAAGACAAGCTTTTGTGTATCAACAGATCTTTCAAACTAGAGCTAGTAAAGCTATTGACAATGCCACTAAGGTTTCTCAGTAAATATGTAAAAGTCCAATCAGTTCTTTTAGGTGTACACATAACTTTCCCAATTAAATTTTAAAATACATTTTAACATTTAGAAATTGAAGATGGCCGGCGCAGTGGTCTCACCCATAATCCCCGCACTTTGGGACGCCGAGGTGGGTGGATCACTTGAGGTCAGGAGTTGAGACCAGCCTGGCCAACACAGTGAAACCTTGTCTCTACCAAAAATACAGAAATCAGCGGCGCGTGGTGGCACGCGCCGCAGTCCCAGCTACTCAGGAGGCTGAGGCGGGAGAATCGCTTGAACCTGGGAGGCAGAGGTTGCAGTGAGCCGAGATCGCGCCATTGCACTCCAGCCTGGGCGACACAGCGAGACTCCGTCTCAAGAAACAAAACAAAACGAACAAACAAAAACAAGAAATTGTTTGAACATTATACTACCAAGGCGCAAGGCTTTCAATTGCCATCAACTCATCAGATGAGGCACAGCTCACAATGAGGTCTGAAAACGGCTTTTCACGCGGGGACCACTTTATGAAACACACAGCAAAAACGGGGCCAATTACAACAGCCAGACCGCTCCGTTTGTTTTAAGAACAATCACTTTCTAAATCTTCCTCGCGAGAGACTCTCAAGGCAGCCCTTCCATTGCCGCCAGAACCGTATCCCATCGCCCAGCACTTGCCGCAGGCCGGACAAGTGAGGCCCAAAAGGGCACCCAGCCACAGCCCTTTAAGAAAACACCGCTGCAAAGCTGCTCGGAAAACCGCTCTCTTTTGTAGTCAACCTGGCCAGTTTGCGCACTTGAGAAAGATCGGAGAGGAGGGAGGGGCGCGATCCGCCACCAAGCAAATCAGAGCCTTTCCACTGTTAGCGACCGCGCGGCAAAGGGGCCGGGGGCCGGACCCTCACACGTGCGGCGGCCTCCCCGCTCCACAGGGACCCGATGTGCCCAGGATCTCCCGACTCCCGCCTCTGCCTCCCGACACCCTACGTTTTCTCTTCTTTCTCATTTACGTATTTACAATAAAACCTTGCGAAGTTACCCACGGTCTCTAATCAATCCTTGAGGTTACCATCAAAGCCTCAGACTCTGTCTCAACCGCAAAAGGTCTGACAGGAAATCAACTCCGGAGTTTGTCAATTCTTTAGACTCAAAGCTCTCACCCAGTGCGGTGGTTCACGCCAGTAATTTCAGCACTTTGGGAGACTGAGACGGGAGGATTGCCTGAGCCCAGGAGTTCGAGACCAGCGTGGGCAACATGTGAAATCCCGTCTCAACAAAAAATACAAAAATTAGCCGGCGTGGTGGCGCGCCATGTCTCCGCTCCTCAGGAGGCTGAGATGAGAGGACTGCTTGAACCCAGGAGGCGGAAGCTGCAGTGGGCCGAGATGGTGCCACTGCACTCCCGCCCCTGAAGGCGACAGAGAGCGAGACTCTGTCTGAAAACAAAACAAAACCAAGCAAAAAAACCTCTCTGTGAAAGTTTGAGTCATTCCTCATTCCTCGCCCTCATACCCCGCCTCACCAAAGAGAACAGCTGAAAAAGGATCAGCTTGTCCCAGAAAGTCGGCATCAAGTATCTTATAAGCTGCAAAATCTCAAAATGTCACCCGCGGGCACCCAGGAGAAGCGTGGGTACCACCAAAGCACCCCCTCATTCACCCGGAATTTGAGGCTGCACCCCAGCAGCTATGCCAAAAACGCTGAACAGGGCTGTGTTCAGCGGCTGCCCTGGGGAAAATCAGTAAATTCAAGAAAAAGTGCGGCCGCACAGACCTGCTGCTCGCCGGGCCGGCGTCGCGACCGCCTGCATTGTTTCCCGAACACTCGAGGCTTGGAGGGCCGTGGGCGGAGGGCAACCAGGCCCAGCCTCTTTACACACTCTCGGCACAAGCCCGAATCACCCCAACACCCGAGCCACCAAGAGCCAAGGGGACGCCATGAACCTCAGGATCACCTCACGTCTCAGGGACATCTTGAGCCCCTGAGACGACCTAAACTCTGGGCCATCTCTGTCCACCGCGCCAAATTTCCCACCCGGTAGCTGAGCAATCGGCGGCAGATGACGATCTCAAGGCTGCCCCCGACATGCCCGGCCGATGAGTAGCCAATCCACCGCCCCTGAATGGCCGCCTAAGTGGGTGCCGTCAGACTCTGACAGAACTTGAGGCCCAGGATTAGTGGGCCGGATTGAGGCGAGGTCACCTTGCCCTGTTCCTCGGTCCCCTCAGACATTGTGAGATGGCGGGGTCTAGCTCTGAGCCCGCGTGCAGGCCTGCGTCTGCGCCGCGACTGTGTGGTAACTCCTTGGTAACTGCGTGGTAACTGCGTACACTCGTTGTCCGAGGCACAATGAGGCGCGGGCAGGAGCCTGGACCACGTCTCTGCGGCTGCGCAGTAGCACGTGACTCCTGGGGGGTCAAAGGGCCTCACCCCCACTTTGACCTATTTTCTTAAAGTATCCTTTTCACAAAAATATATACATGTATGTGTATATGTATATATTTGTACTATATATGTGTGTGAATATATGTAGATATAGATACAGATGGAGAGAGAGAGAGAGAGAGAGATAATGAACTGGGAGCCAACAGTGTAATTCTGCTCGTCCCAAAAAGCACATCATAAAAAAAAAAAAAAGTCAATGTAAGAGAATTGCGTTCAGACTTTCTAGTGTTTTCGGTTGCTTCACTCACATCGATTGCCGGCACTGGGAACAAATCCGAAAACAAGCCGACACGAAAATATGCCCTAATAAATGCCTAGCAACCCCTCCCCTCCCCTCCTTCCTGCCCCCTCTAGTAGTCTATAGCCTATTGTTCCCATCTTTCTATCCCTGTGTACCAGATATTTAAGCTCCTACTTACAAGTGAAATTCAGTATGTGGTTTTCTGTTTCTGTGTTAATTCACTTAGGAGAAAGGCCTCCAGCTGTGTACGTGCTGCTGCAAAGGACATGGTTTGTTCTTTATTCTGACTGCATAGTTTTCTTCTGACCGGTCCACCATTGATGGACACTAGTTGATTCCATGTCTTTACTATTGTCTTCACACCTTTCAAAACCTGTCTCGGTACTACATCTGTTCGAATAATACCCCCATCATCAAGACACTTTCGATAGCCCCCTGGTAAGAAGGATCCCACAGCTTGAGTAATCTTCACGTCCTATTAGTATTTAAATTTACACGATATTATAATCCTCGTCAACGCCTCTCTCTAAGTTCCTGGAGGACAGCACCATGTCTTATTTATATTTGAACACCACCTCCCTCACAAGATTCTAAGAATTAAATGTTATAAAATATAAAGAACCTGGTGCCTGGAATTTGGGATCCATTTCTTCACTGTGTCAGTTATACAATGACTCTTGGGACTGTGGGTCTCTTCATTTGGGGAAAGAGTAAGAATTTCTTTACTTGTGAGAAACAAAGGTGTATATTGTTAGGTAGAAACACAGAGTTGTTTGCTATCGTGCTAGGTGTACATATGTGTAGGAGGATGCATAGAGAAACCGAGGGCTGAAATGGATACACTGTGCTGGTTACCAATGTGTTTACCTCTCTCCAACTTCACCACTTGCCGACTCTGTGAAAGTGGATGTGGGCCTTTAAATATTTTCCCACTTTGCCAAAGTAACACAGTTTTAAACCTTTGTAGTAGAGAAGGTGCTAAAGAGCGGTAGGAGAGGAAGGTTTTTGCCTCCTGGTTGACCTGTGCTCTCTGAGGACATTGATGCAAAGTGTAGCTTTCTCCTGCAGGAGAAGGCAGATTTCAATGCTTTATAGAGGATATGTTCCAGCAAATTCATCAAGTTGCAAGGTTGGGTTTCAACAAATTCCAGAGAATAGATTTACAGTGAAGTCCACCAGTGCAAGCATTGGTGAGTCTTAGACACTGTGTCTCAGCCTAAGAGTGTGTATATTTCTTATAGCTGTAATTTGTAAAGAATATTTTAGGATTTTATTACTAGCTAATCTCTCATTACTCCCAGTCCTCTTTTATGCTTAATAATTTTTCTTTCTTTCTTTTTTTTTTTTTCTGAGACAGAGGTCTGGCTCTGTCATCAGGCTGAGTGCAGTGACTCGATCATGGCTCACTGCAGCCTGGATCTCAAGTTCAAACAATCCTCCCACCTCAGCCTCCTGAGTAGCTGCGACTAAGGCATGCACCACCATGCCCAGTTAATTTTAAATTTTTTTGTTGAGATGGGGGTCTCCCTATGTTGCCCAGGCTGGTCTCAAACTCCTGGGCTCAAGTGATCCTCTCGCCTCAGCCTCCCAAAGTGTTGGGATCACAGACATGAGACACCACACCCAACCAATAATTCTTTACATTAAACTTTCCCTGTTCAAATTACCACATTGGTATTTCTCTTCATATTGGACCTGGAGGGATGCACCCACCTTTGAAGTTTCCTTCTAGCACACAGTACTCAATAGGTACACAAGGTTTGTTCATGGACTGTAATTGAATAGCCAACAGATACTCAGTAATCGCTACAGTTTAATTTCTGGTCAGTCCTCTCCATTCATTTTGTCTGAAGCCTCTTCTCCACAGACAGAGGTGGGAGAGGAGGAAGAAGCACTTTCCTATTGTCACGCCTAAGACTGACTTTCCATTTCCTGTCCTAACTAAGCTACATTAACCTGAGCAGGAAGAACAGCAGACAGGAAATCCCAGCCACGGGAGAAGTGGGGAGGAGATGCTGCAAAGCTGTCTGTTCCCAGGTGCAAGCTGGACCACAGGAACTACAGAGCAGGTATTTCTGTCAACAGCCAGTACAGTCACAGCAGTAGTTCCGCAGCCTGTAATTGTGGATTGGTGAACATCTTCTGAAAGACAACTAAAAAAAAAAAAACTGGATGCAATGTTTTTTAAATATTATAGCATTAGGCCGGGCGCGGTGGCTAAAGCCTGTAATCCCAGCACTTTGGGAGGCCGAGGCAGGTGGATCACGAGGTCGGGAGTTCAAGACCAGCCTGGCCAAGATGGTGAAACCCGGTCTCTACTCAAGAGATACAAAAATTAGCCAGGCATGGCAGCGGGTGTCTGTAGTCCCAGCTACTCGGGAGGCTGAGGCAGGGAATTGCTTGAACCTGGGAGGTGGAGGTGGCAGTGAGCCAAGATTGTGAAACAGCACTCCAGCTTGGGTGACAGAGCAAGACTCTGTCTATACACACACACACACACACACACACACACACACACACCCCATTAAAGCATATCATAAAGTTAACAATTTCTGAGCTAAGATCTGAGAAAGACCCAAAACCTAGATGAGTGTGAGAAACTGAGAGCATTGCTTTTGTTCTTGGACATTTGCTGATGCAGAGGAGGCCAAAGGAGGCTGTGCTACACGTTGGGTAGTTTGTGGAGACGAGGGACAAAAGTTGGAATCTGGGACCCACCAAAGGAGAGTCTGTAAATCACCTCCCACCTCAAACTGGGACCACAAAGAGACAAATCTTCAGAGTAAAGTAACCAAAACTAACCATGGTCTCTAGATCAGCCTGCGGGTGCCTCCCAGGTGCCTGCATAAAGCAAGCAAACATTCTCTCTTGCAAAGGTAATGGCAACTTATTTCTACAAAGAATTATTTATTTTATTTATTTATTTTAAAAGATATTATTTTTTAAATGTTTTTTATTTCAATAGCTTTTTGAGGTACAAGTGGTTTTGTTACAGGGATGAAATATATGAAGTGGTGATTCACAAGAAGGATGTTACTGCATCCATCACCCAAGTAGTGTACACTGTACCCAGAAAATCTACAAGAGTCTCACTCTGTCACCCAGGCTGGGTGGTAGCACAATATCAGCTCACTGCAACCTCTGCCTCCTGGGTTCAAGCGACTCTCCTGCCTCAGCCTCCCGAGTAGCTGGGACTACAGGTTACAGGACTACCACGTTTGGCTTTTTTTTTTTTTTTTTTTTTTTTTTTGTATTTTTAGTAGAGACAGGGTTTCACTATGTTGGCCAGGCAGGTTTCGAACTCCTAACCTCCTGGCCTCGATCTGCCTGCCTCAGTCCCAAGTGCTGAGGTCTGTGTGTTCCTGCAGTTTTTAATTCCACACCATCCCTCCCACTCTCCTTCTTCTGAGTGTCCAATGTCCATTATGCCGCTCACATGCCTTTGTATACCCATAGCTTAGCTCCCTTGTAAGTGAGAACATGCAGTAAGTGGTTTTCCATTCCTGAGTTACTTCACTTACAATAATGGCCTCCAGCTCTGTCCAAGTTGCCACAAAAGACAATATTTCATTCCCTTTTATGGCTGAGTAGTATTCCATGGTGTATATATACCACATTTTCTTTATCCACTCATCGGTCAGTGGGCACTTAGGTTGGTTCCATATCTTTGTAATTGTGAATTGGAGGGCTATAATAAATCTACACATGTGGCAATTGAATCACTTCAGGTCAGGAGTTCAAGATCAGTCTGGCCAACATGGTGAAACTCCGTCTCTACCAAAAATACAAAAAAAAAAAAAAAAAAAAAAAAAATTAGCCAGGCATGGTGGCAGGCACCTGTAATCCCAGCTAGGGGCAGGGCAGGTTCTAGCATCAACCTGGTTGATTTACCAGGGGAAACAAGCAGGCCATGCAAGAAGAGAGGGAGAGTTGACTTAAATGCAGCCCACAGGACACGAGACGGGACAATATGGCCACAGAGCAGTGTCCAGCTGCTAGCGCCACTCTCACTTGTTTCCACTCCCTCCCATTCAAACTCCTGCCACCCGAAAGAGTTCCATCTCACCAGGCACAGTGGTCATCACCCGTAGCTTGGAGCCCCGGACACAACTCCAGTGGCCTGGCCAAGGCGTGCAATGCCATGCTTTCATGAGGCCCTGAGAGCCTGCTGCTTTGCTGACCCCAGTGTCTGCAGTGGGTTTTGGCCCTAAGGCAGATTTAACAAAGGAGTGTATATTAGTCAGGGTTCTCCAGAGGGATAGAACTAATAGGATAGATGTATATATAAAGGGGAGTTTATTAAGGAGGATTGACTTACACGATCACAAGGTAAAGAAAGTCCCACAATGGACAAGCTGCAAGCTGAGAACAGGAAGCCAGTCCGAGTCCCAAAGCTCAAAAGGAAGGAAGCCAGCAGTGCAGCCTTCAGTCTGTGGTCGAAGGTCCAAGAATCCAAAAGCCGAAGAACTTGGAGTCTGATGTTTGAGGGCAGGAAGCATCCAGCATGGGAGAAAGATGGAGGCCAGAAGGCTAAGTCAGTTTAGTC